GATTTCGAGTCAGACTGACATTTAATTGGATGACGGTAGGGGCCACAGTGATGCAGCATGAAGGGCGACCCCTCTATTCAGCTTGCCCGACCCCTTCCTTTACAAAAGGTGCGAGGGCTTCTCCTCCAGAACAGCTCACAGGAAACCTTTGATACTCAGCGGCGGGAAACCCTGCGGCTGGGGAAGTGCTTTTTCTTTGACCTGGGAAGTTCTGCTCAGCACCGGCTAAGCTCGAAACTGTTCAAAACCTTCCCTTCGGCTTTCCATCGTCAGGTGTGTGCTGGTCACCTGCCAGGCACTAACTCAACGTGAACACAGGAGAGCTGCCCGAGCCGCCGCGAGGTGTGTGGGAAGCAATCTGGCTCAGCCGGGCCTCCGCAGGGGCCTGCTCCCCTCTCCCCTTGGGGCACTGCAGCTTCTCCAGGCCCCTCTCAGGTCGGGCTCCCTGCATCTGCAAGTCCACTCCCAGGTCCCACGCACAATATTTTGGAGACTGGACAGAAAACAATACACCAAGTCTCAGCCACGTCCCGGCACCTACTGGTGATGGTGTGACCATGGGAGCCACCACCAGCACTACCTTGCTTATCTCCGTGCCGCCTGCACGCCTGCGCAGGCAGGGCCATGCCATGGAGGCTCCCGCACCAGGCTCTGAGTACCCTGCAGCAGGCGGGAGCGGCTGTGCTGCGGGACCTGCCTGGCTCAGCACTCCCCGGGAATGGGACCGCATGGGGCAACACCACCCATCTGCTGGGGGCTACTCAGAGCCCTCATGCAGGGGAGCACACAGGGTGCTTTAACCTGGCTGCTGCCACTGCAATGCCCCCAGGGTGCGACACTATCCCTGGTTGAGAACCACTGACATAAATAAGTGTCCATTTCTACCCAATGCCTGGAAAAGCAGAAGGTACTGGTGCACACTGGTTTGCTGACAAGCACCTTTTGCTTCCAAGGGATCTGTTTGCACACCGGTTACGCATTTCATCTTCAAGACTTTATTTCACACGAGAAAACCAATGCAGCATCATAACACCTCATCAGTGATCAACAGCTTACGTCTCGCATCCTCCAGGCTGAGGAACACCCTGAAAAATGTCTTTCTCGTTAAAACATTGCTGCAGGCTCTGACCTGCATATTTCAGCAGTGCAGGAGCTGGTATGAAGAGCTTGAATCAACTGAGGATGCTCAACAGCCTTCACACGTGTGCTGGTGTGGCTAGGTGAACCCAGCTGTTGAGTTTGATGGCAGAGTGGAGAGATGCAGCTGTATAAGAGGAGACAGATACGCGGCCTGACTCAGGTATTGCACTGGGCTGCTGCAGGCCTCCTCCGTGGAACGACCCCTGACTGATGCTGATGACGGAGGTGACAGCCAAAGCTGCAGGCACAGCCAGTTCTTCGGCAGTAACTCACTTCCAGTAAGTGCATTCCTATCCAGCCAAGCCCTTCATCATTATTGCTGTCCTTACCTCCTGCAGCAGTGAGCACTCCGAAGAAGGGCAACCTATCACAAACTGACCCAAATTCCCAGCATGGCTTTTCACCCCGACAATCTACCCCTTTCCTCACACATTGCAAAAGTACTAAGACACTTCTGAGACTGTCTGCAGCAAAGACTGGACTGGGGACCTCTGTATCTAACAACCTGCAGAGAAAGATGGAGCTTTGTTAGCTAAAGCTATGGGAGGCTTTCCAGCTGTATGGCCTCACCAGTCAAGGGGAGATGGAGTACCCCACTGAGCAGGTGCGAGCCACACATTGGTCCTGCTCATCAGTGACCCCTTCTAAATTGCTCATTTCCTCTCATCTTTCAGCCATAGAGGGCAACCCACTGTTCTGCCTCTTCACCTGGGCTTGCTTCAGTATGTCAGCTCAAGGGTCACTCTCAACTCTCAAAGGTGCCCATAAAATGCAGACACAAGAGCATACTGTTACATGCTTGGTTTTTACAACATTAAGGTGGAAAATGAAATGCCATTTTCACAGTCTGGGAGGAGGTGGAGGGTGTCAGCACCATAACTTCCTTTTATTGACACCAAATATTCTCGATACTAGCAAGGGCTCAGGTGAAAACTCATCTGTCTGCTGCCATATGGAGCAGGAGAGACTGCTGTGCAGCATAAAGAGTGTCTAGGCCCTGAACTGAGAGGAGAGAAAAAGCGAGGAAAGGATTTCCCCCTGGGAGAAGCGTGTTGAGGTCAGGGGCCTTAGGATCTCAAGAAGACAGCTGGAGATGGCAGGTCACAGCACACATTGACAGGGCAGTTCTTTGGCACAAATCACCTTCTGAATCATGCCCAATTTTACAGGGCACGGGTGCTGGTGCTGTGGAGGAACATCAAGATGGATCCGGGAGGGTGGGCACTCACCTTAGCTTCTCCTCGGCCATTCCCAGTAGCAAACTCCATGTAGATTTTTCTCTGAGCACATTTATACCTTGAAGCTCCCTAAAACACTTCAGACACACTCCCCTAGTTAAGTAATGTGTATTAGACCTTTTCCTTCTTTCAGGTTTGGACACAGCTTGTTTTTTTTATCTGCCTCCCTTCTGTGACAGGTTTACTGATCTGATGTTATGTAGTGTCACTGATATTTCTTTATTTCCTGCATAGGTGCTCGTGGATCTTTTCCCTGCAGCTGACAGTGAGGACTAACATTTTTACCTTCCCTTGGTGGGGGTGGAGGAACCCTGACTATAAGCTTCATCAAACCAAGTTCATGCCACGTAATCTTGCCAGGACAGTGTTTTAGCCCACAGGGTGTTGGTCCATTCCCAGGAGGGCCCAGTGCTTTCTGGGCCTGCTTGCAATGTCAAAAGGGCCAAGAAGAGCCTCAGCAAGACACTTTTCCATGGCAACTAATTCTCAAGACTGTGAGCACCATCTCCTGGCCATTCTGGGATTAAACCATGCTTGAAGCTTGTTTGCTCTTTCCCCAAAACCCTAGAGAGAGACTGCATGTGTGCAGGAGAGATGGAGGTAGGAGCACCTCACTAAAGCACTGCAGGGAGATTACACGCTTGCTGTTACTCACAGACTCTCACTGTAAGGAATGTCTGTCCTCCTGCGCCTCTGCTCTCAGCAAAACACGCTGCCCCGGCTGTTTGCTTATATCCTCCACACTGCAATAGGAGCAAAGTATGTGGCTGGGCCGTTCGACTACAACAGGCTCTGGTTAGTGGCCAGGAGCAGCTAGCACAAGATGCTGCTGGCAAGCTGAAAGCTGCTCATTTTCTGCACTCGTGTGGCTCTGGGCAGTGTGATTAGATGGGCACTGTTCACCACAGGGGCTCAGTCTGAGAGAGACGGTGGGAATCATTGCTCAGTATGTAAATATTGCAGTGGCAGCGTTCAACCTTTTGGCATGAGGGAAAGGAAGATAAATGCTCCTAGTTCCCTCAGAGCTGCAGAAACCCTGCATCCATCTAATTGCACTTCATAATGGATTCAGCAAACCATTAATTATCAGATTATATTTTAGGAAACTGCAGATAAAAAAGCTTTGTGAAATTTAATCTTAAAGGGGCCAACGCCTTATAATGGAGGTGTTGCACCAGGCTGGCACAGACAGGCTGAGCTTTATGTAAGGTAGCCGGAAGCCTTCTGCAAAGCAATGTACTGTGGGCTGCAAGGGAATGGCTGTGTGCAATGGTGGCAGCCATTATGTGTCAGACAGGAAGGCTTGCATTAGTGCCAACTCATTGGTAATGGTATTAAGCACTCAAGAAATGATGGGTCACCATACCCAGACTAGCTCCTTTCTTCTAATGCTACAGCTTCTGCATCAAGCTAAAAGGGAAGGCAGGCAGTCTTAGGGCTTTTGTCCTCTCACAAAGGGGATATAAGCTGTCACCATCCAGCTGTGGGCCTGACCCCAGAGCTGCCCCGTGCTCACAGCCTTGGCAGTGATTTGGCTAGGATTAGGGTCTCCTGACATCAGGAACTGCTAACGTTTCATAGATTCATAGATTCATAGATTAAGGGTCGGAAGGGACCTAGTAGATCTTCTAGCCCGACCCCCCGCCAGGGCGGGAGAACAACAAAAACCCCAAAAAGAGAAATGGGACTCAAACGAGTCCAGCTAGGTGGGCATCCAGCCTCTTCTTAAAGACCCCCAGGGTAGGGGCCAGCACCACTTCCCTTGGAAGTTGGTTCCAGCTCCTAGCCGCCCTAACGGTGAAGTAGTTTTTGCGGATGTTTCCTGGAGACAAACTAATGAAGGCAGCTGCACACACACAGGACTGGCCTAAGTTGTTTTCCTTGCCTCTGCCATGGAGCTCCCCATACTATTTTTACAAGGAGAGAAGCTCCAGGCAGTTTTAAACACCCCACCCCTGGAGGGATGATAGCTATGAGGCAGGTGAACAGCCAACTCTCTCAAGAAGGCTCTATGACACCAAGGTAAGGCCTTTTGCTGAGACACTGCAGGTTTTGCCTCACTCCCCTATTTTATAAGAGGTTGACCCTTGGGATATAGGAGAGATTGAAGCTGGGTCACTGCCAACATGGCAGAAGGACAGCACAGCAGGCTTCTGCTCAACAACAGAGACAGCTTATATACACATGCAGTGGGAGGCCTCTCCACAGCCTGTCATTGTGAACAATGATTTGTTCTACCTGCTTGGTCCAGAACCCCCACCCAGCCACCACCACCAGTTGCCATCCCCAGGTGGCCTGGAGACTTGTTTTGCTTCTCATGATTAAGTTTTGGCTTTCCCTTTGCCAGGTTGGCAGACCCATTTTAAGTTTTTGCAGGAGTGGACGCCAAGGCAGCCCTGCTGTGGCCATATTTTCTAGGGGGACTAAGGAGAAACGTAACCATCTGGGGAGGAGCAGAACATGGCACGGCTGAAACCGCCCAGACTCACACTGTCCATGGTCCTGCAAGCATTTGCCCAGCTTGTGCCCAGCCTTTTCATGCTGTGCCTCCTCCACGGGCATCTGTCCTCCTCATCGCAGCACAGCTTAGATCACCTTCAAGGTGACTTCCTCCTGGACAAATGTTCATCTATTCCTCACTCTGCTGCCCTACACCAACACCTCTGATTCTGTATAAGATTCCCTGCCTCTCCTGCCCCTGGAATTTCCCCAGTCTCTCCCCAGCTCTGCCCTTGCTAGGCCTTTGCTTGGTTGTGCTTCATTTATCTCCTTTCCTCCTGCACAAGCTGTTCTCCTGGGGCTGGAGAGGACATGTGGCCCAGATCATTCAGAAGCACCAGCTGCTGCCTGCCACTCATGGTAGGGAAAGAAGCCACTCTGGCTCCATGACTCCCAAAGAGTTCCCACTGCTGATCTCCCATGTTCTTGGGATTGCTGTGCTTGCAGCCCCTCACTTCTTTTGCCAGTGTCACAAATCCCAGTAGTTTCCTGGAATAAGCCTGCATCTCATGGCCCAAGTGGTACACATGGATAGTAATGGCTGAGGAGCTGGCCAAGCAATTCTGGATGCATCACACAGGTGCTCCAGGCTACCTCATTTTGTTTCTTCACAAATCAGAGTGACTTTGTCATCAAACAGATCCTCCATAGTCACTGCCACCAGCTCCGAGCCACCTTGGCTAGCTTGGGCATCTGGCAACGTCACAAAGACCTGGGATCCAGCAAGCTCGGCCTCATCCAAGGTGATCACATGCTCTCCTTCTGCTCCTTGTTCTGCTGTCTGAATAACCTGCATGGGAAACAACTCAAGAGTTAAGGAGATGCTTGCAGCACATTTTCCACTGAAGTGTCCCCAGCCTACACTCCAATAACAGCGTTTACTTTCACACCTGAGGAGTGCAATTGCAATAGGCGTGAGCCCTAATGGGAAGCTCTGAGCTGCACACACCAGTGATGCAAAAGAGAAGACAGAAAAGCAATTTAAATATTTCTCTTCACAAAATTGCTATAATTTAGCACCATAAGTAGTCGTAGATTATAAAGATGCGGTGATTACACGCTAGCGGATCATCAGCCCAGGGAATCTTGCATATTGGGCTCCCACGTCCAAATGGTTATTCTCTACTGATAGCTGCAGTATTAGAGAGAGAGAGAGAGAGTCTGCTAACTCCAGCCCTAAAATCTGGTTTTCTGCAAAATAGTTATAATATAGACAAGGAAGTCCTCTGGATTCTAACAGAGCCTTCCCAGAGTGACCAGCTTGCTCTGCACCTCCTGCCAGCCCTTCCTCCTCCAGTCTCCAAGAGCAAAGGATGTGGAGAAACCTAAGAGTCCAGAGGAGAGCCATGAGCATGATCAGAGGTCAAGAGAACAGACCTTATGAGGAGAGGCTGAGAGGCATGGGACTCTTCAGCTTGGAGATGTGTAGACTCAGGGATGACTTCGTGGCAGCCAATAGGTAAGCAGCCAATAAGGGGTGTGCATCAGGAACTGGGAGAACGTCTGTTCACCAGGGCACCCAAACAGAAGCCTCAGCTCTTCACCCCCAAACAAACCCAGACCGGGGTTAAGGAACTAACATCCAATTAAGGCTCCTTCTTCCCCTGTGACCCCACATTGCCCTTGTGCACTGAGTACCTAAAAGTCTAGTTAAGTGCCAGGCCATCCCTGGATTCAGAGGCAACCTAAGGGCTTATCAGACATGAGTCTTATTATACTCCCTCAAAGTAGACTTAGAAAGGGAAGGTAGAACCACAGAGTGGATAAAGAGATGGTGGGGATGCCAACTGGTGCAAAGAACAGGGCTGGGAGGATAGAGGGATGGGAGAAGGATGGAATGTCATGGCAGTGGATAAGCACCCCAACTCTGGAGTCTTACTACAGCTGCCCCTACATGAAGTTACCCCAGCACCCCTGTTATCAGCCACCCCTGGAGCAGTCACTTACTTGCACAATCTGCGTGGTGGTGGCCTGGGCTTCTGCAAACACCACCTTGGGATGCTCAGCTCTGTAGTGACCTTCCAGCTGCTCCTGAGTGGGGAAGAGCTCCCCACACAGTCCACAAGTGAAGGTGCTCTCTGTCTGCTTGAAGTGCTCAGTGGTGACGTGCTGCTGCAAGGCCCCTGGGAAGCGGAAGGAGGCTGAACAGTACAAACAGCAAAATGGCTGTGACCCTAAAGAAACATGAAAGAAGCATCACTGCCAGCGAGATGCACAAGAGGCCTCAACTGTCAAGGCTGGCCCAGAGCCAGGAGGGCACATCAAGACAACAATTAACTGACCTGAATGCCTGCACTTGACGTGGACCTGCAGGAGAGCCAGTGTGGGGAACAGCTCCTTGCATTTCTCACACTCGTGGAACTTCATATCTGAAAATGAGACCAGGGAAAGCAGCACAGACAGGCTACATCACTACTCTGAGCCCAGGCACCTGGACACAGACCCACACCAAAGGAGATAAATGTCAAGAACTCAGCAAGAATGTATCTGATTACAGCACCACCTGCAGAAGCATTTCATGAACCAACAGAGCTAGCCATGACAAAACAGAGAGGACACCTGTTGGAGAGGACCCTTCTAAGGGGTCACAATGAGTTTGCTGTGGTCTCAGCAATCCATGAGGCTTTGTTTCATCAAGCGAGAACTATTCCCATATCTTATCTCTCCCACCTCAGCATTTTTTCCCCAGAGGAGGCAGGGGGACTTCTCACCTGCATGCTCTGTCTTGACATGTTTTCTGTGGGCAGTTGTGCTGGAGAAGGTTTTGTCGCAGGAGCTGCACTGCAATGATGAGAATTTGGATGAGCGGTGATTCTGGGCTGCAAAGACATCAGGGTGATGGGTCCGATTGTGATACCATAACCCTGACAGTTGCTGTGAAGATATAAATGAAATCATGTTTAGAATGGAAAAGCTGTCCTGGAGGGACAAAGTGGCAGTAATAGGTTGCCATCTTAAAACAAATGGGAACTGAGGCTGCACTCAGCAGCTATAAGATGCATCAGACCTTACCATAAACATCCCTATCCAAACCCATCTCTTTTATGTAGCACACTTGATATTCATTACTCTAACTTATTTATGCCAGAAATGCAGCATCCTAAACTACACTGATAGAGAACATGATCTCTACAAAAACAGCACACTCAAAATGCTGAGTGCTGCTAGCTCTCTCATCTCCCTCTTCACAGATCCCATTTTGGACTGATTTTTCATGCCTTGCTACTTGGTTTACGGCCCTCCAACATATGCACACTTGCACAAGCCAAATGGAGAATCTCATTTGCAAAATGTCACTTCTATCATAATAGAAATCAAGAAAGCTAGAAATGTTAGGCTGAAGGGAAAGATCAGATTTTAGGGAGCTCAGGGCAGGAAAGGATCTATAGCTCTAGAGTTAGGACAGTTTCAGAACTGAATGATTCATATTAGTGGACCTATCTTCTCATTGCACAATTATTCTTCCTCTGAGCAAATCAGCAAACTTCTTCCCTTGGCAGTGCAGTTACTCCCATATTCACTTGTGCCAATAAAGGACCTCCTCTTTGTAAACTGGCAGGTGATGCTGTTCTTTGGAGGGTGAGATAAAGCGTACACCAAGCCCAGCTCACCTGATAGGCTTTGTCACAGATCTCACAGCTGAATGGTTTCCCTCCTACGTGGGTCACCATGTGGCGTTCCAGCAGGGATGGAGCACTGAAGACTTTACCACAGGTAGGGCAGGGGTGGTACTCCCTGGAGTGGACCTCGTGAATGTGTTTGCGATGCTCCTGCAGGGTGGCAAAGCTCATCCGACACTTCTTGCAGTCATAGGGGTCTTCGATGTCTGACTCCACAGTGCAGGGGGTGAAAGGCAGGGTTGAGGACAGAAAGAAAGGCAGACAGAAAAAGATATGAGAAAAGGCACCACAAATAGGTAGGAGGGAGAACAGAGAAAGAAATGCTGGTAATTTCTAGGCAAAGAGCAAACATCTGAGTTTTAGGATCTTTGCAGGTAAGTGCCATGTACTCTCCCACCCTGACACTTGCAGTGAGAAATAATCCAGGCTGGTCCTCAGCAGTCCCATGATGCCTTTGCTCTGTTCTATTAGACAGTACTGCTGTTTCCTTGGGCTGATCCCAGCTCCAGGACCAGTGTGTAAGTCCCCATAAGAAGAGCCTAGGATCTTCCCAGGACAGAAAAATCCTTCCATGAAGCAGCAGAGCAAGGCTGGATGCCCATCACCAGCAGCACCCTCAAAACTGCATTATATGAAGGCAGCCCTGTGCCTTTCACAGCAGAGGGAAGTCTGCTGCAGTCTGGCACTGCCCCTTCACCTCTTTGCAGTCACACTCAGACAGCCCTTTGCCTTCTAAGGAGCTCTGGTAAGTCCCGGGGGAAAGGCCCCATTTGAACTAGAATAGGGCTCTGGTACTCACTGTGGAAGGTTCGTAGGTGGATGGAGAGCCCGTTGGCCTGCCTGAATCCTTTCCCACACTCCCTGCAGACATATGGCTTATCTCCAGTGTGAGTCCTCACATGGCGAGACAGCTCAATGGACTGTGCAAACACTGCGTCACAGTATTGGCAGGCATACATCTTCCCTGCAGGGAAATCCAATATAGCAGGCTAGAGCCTCTGCAGCTAGCACTGACCCAGGGGACAGGATTTCTGGGAATGCAGCTCAATTTTTTGGGAAGAAGCAGGAGATTATGAAACAGGCAAGGTTTCAAGGGACCAACAACTCATAATACAAGCTTCTAAGGATCAAAAGCGATGGCATCAAAACCACAAAATTTGTGTACTCAATATTAATTCTGGGATTATAAACACAGAGTGCTCCAATACAAGCACATTCAAATACATCCATAACAAACTGCTCAGAGACACGATCGCTCTGACAACATACCTATACAGTGCCACAAGTTTGCAATGTTTTGTTTTTTGGGGGGTTTGGGGGGGGGGTTGTTTTGGTTTTTTTGTTTGTTTGTTTGTTTTTGTGTGTGTGTGGTTTTTTTGTTTTTTTTGTTTTTTGTTTTTTTTTTTTACAAACGCAGGCATATCCTTTGCTCCTGAGTTGCTCACAAACAAAAGGAGCTAGTGGCAGAGGACAAATGTGGCACTGAGGCATAGAGCTAGTTGGAATTTTTAAAAAGAAATGAACACTGAAAGTTAAGCATACTGTCAAAATTAAATTACTTGTGCAAATTATTCCAGTGGAAAATCCAAAATGAAACAAAACCTTTCATGGTAGTATTGAAGTGATGTCTTAAGTACTATAATGCCTTTGCAGTTCCAGAGATAAAGTAGTGATGAGTGAATGTAGATCCCTTTATGGAAATAGAAAATTAGTGCAAAACTACAAAGAGAACACACTAGTACAGGCTGGCAGTCAAGGAAATATGCAAGAGACTTTGATCTTTTGGGGTGATATATCACCCACAGATATCCTTGCCTCTCAAGATATTACATTTTTCAAACCCTCCCCAGAAAGAGTGGGGGCAGGGAGTGCTTTTATTTTGGGGTTTTGCTGCACTTACCTCCCTTTTTACATTTTAACACCTTTTTAGTGGGGAGAAAGAAGAAAGGGAGTTCAAAGGGAGAGGAAAGAAAAAAACCACAAATTAAAAACCAATCCAACAAAAATAGATATTGGTTTGCTTTTTCAAATCCAAAATGTACATATTTTTACATTTCTTTTTCAAGTTTTCATCACTGGCTTTTGGGAGGAAAATTTCCCATTTCTCAACTATTCAAATGCTAAGAAGAAGGGAGGCTGGTTGCTTGAAGCAGCGAGAATGAAAGTTGAGAGGGCACTGGGGAGGCAGGCCAGCCAGGCAGAGCACTGGGATGTACAGAGCTGAGAAGAGACAGGAACTGAGGAGGGTTAGGAATGGGGTGGGTGGCTGAGAGGAGAAGGAAAGGAATGAGTATGTATCGTGTTGGAGGTAAGGACTAAGCTTGCACCCAAGGCAGCTAACAACAGGATGCCAACAAATAAAAGGTCAAGGCTAGAGATGAAGGGGAGTATAGCAACAGCACTTGGGGCATATTAGATCAGGGCAGGGGCAAAAACCAGTGAAGCCAGACTTTAATCCAGGCAGAGACCGACAAGTTCAGCAGTAGGGATAGAGAGTCCAATTCACCAGTGGAGGAGGACGGTAGCATTCACCAATGAACTGAGTATCTGGGAGAGGGAAAGGGAGCAGAGACAAGAGATGAAGTCGGTGATCCCAGAAGACAGGAAGGACAATAGTTTTGCCAAGAGAGGCAAAGAAGGAAGGCAGTAGAAGGAAGCAGGAGAAGCTCTGCCTGAGAAAGTGAGTAAGATGGTAGCTCAATAGCAGGGAGATGTCAGAGATAGGCTGAGTTACGGAGAGGTGGGGTGGGATCGCTAATGACCTCTAGTCTGGGGAGAGGTGAAACAATGCGATTGAACAAGGCTAGAGGGGGAGGTAGAGAGATAGCGATAGATGCCAGCTACGGACAGGACAAAAGCAGATGAAAAGCCACCAAGAGAGGCGGAAGGAGCAGTCAATCAGTCAAAAAAGCAGTGGAAAAATGGAGGTATTACCAGGAGTGGATGGATTAAGCTGTAACCCTGCCCAGGCAGATGAACACTGATAGCACTGATAGCACCAATAGCATTAGCCCCACAGCTCTGTGCCTTCACAACTTGGCCCTACGCTTCCTCCAATCACTCGTGGGAGGACAAGGGCCCTGGTGCACAGTCAGGACCCCTACAATTCTGACAGGCTTACCCTCAGAGTGCTTCTTCTTGGTGTGATAGGCAAGGGCGGAGGCTTGCATGAAGGTCATGAGGCAGTGCTTGCACATGAAGGGGCGGTCCCCTGTGTGCAGCCGCATGTGGTTCTTTAGCGTAGAGTTAGCAGCAAACTTGGCACCGCACTCATCGCAAGAGAAGGGCTTCTCATCAAAGTGTTCAGTAAGTTTGTGGTACTGCATTCCTGGGGAGCAGGAGACCAATGGAAGCAGTTAATGCCCAGCAGAAAGGTGCTGTCCAGGTCCTTTCCCCAGCCCTAATGCTAAGTACCAAGTGACACAGCTTGACTGAGTCGGGAGAGGTCATCTTCCTAACAGCCAGTGCTCCCGGATCACAACCAACGTGCCACTTACTCAGAAAGGAAAGAACGACATAGCCGTAAGCTTCCTCTACCCTGCTAAAGTAGTACTGCTCCACACTGAGAGCAGGGGGATGAGGTGGCAGAGGTAAAGGAACATCAGGCACAGAGAAGCATCATTATCAATACCCCTGAAATCAGCTGAAGAACCAGAACAGGCCACATGCCCCTACATTTGCTTTTAAACACCTTTTAAGTAACCAGAAGCCCCACTGTTTCTTGATAAGCCATGTGTAACACTGGAAAAGCAATTATAAAAGAAATCAGCCATAAGACACTGGGAGAGTGGAGCAGCGAAATGGTCCGAATCACATTCCTTAGGACACAGTGCCATTTCAAAGGCTTCTAAGAACTATCCTCAGAGCCAGGAAGGAGGGCCCAGTTTCAGGTTGTCTAGTTAACGTGCTGTTCATGTAGCTATCACCCTGGTAACTTGGCTCAGGTCTAGAACAGCAAGGAGCACCTCACTCCCTGTGCCACATGAAAACTCTCCCAGCTCTAGGGTTATGAAGCCCACCTGAGGCATGAGCAAACTCTCTTCCACAGATGTCACATGTCACCGGGAGTCTCTTCTTTTTCTTTTTGGCCGGCCCTGCAACTCCGTGCACCTCCAGCTGGTGCTTTTCTAGCTCCTTCTTGGTGCTCATGACCTCAGCGCACTCCTTGCACTGCACCTGCTTTCCTTTGGCCAGGCGACACCGCTTCATGTGCACCTTCAGACGGCAGTAGAAGTGGAAACTCTTGTCACAGGCTTTGCAGATAAAGCTCTTCTTGGAGGAACTTCTCTCATGGGTTTCCTCTCGCTCCTTGGGACCTGCACCCCCAGCCTTCTCCTCCTCTTTGTCCATGGCTTCAATCTGCGATTCACTGTTCACCTTCCACTTCCTGATCCCAGGTTTCTCCCCGCTTCTCTCCGTCAGGAGCCCTGTGTGGAAAGCAACTCCCATTTCAGTGCTGACTGACCATTTTGAGCACTCGCCTTCCTCACCACCTGCCTCCTGAGCACTCCTCAGGGAGCACCTGATCCTGCACTTTTCTGCTCGGGGGTGAATGGGATCAATATGGTACAGACTGGTGCAAAATGCCCTGTCCCATCAAAGCAGCAGCACATCAAAGCCACGTTCACAGGTGACAATGACTAGGGAAGGTGCAAGAAGTGCAGAATTAGAATAAAGGAGAATGCATTTTTTCCAGTTAAAACACCAGCATCTATAGAAGCCGAAGCGTGCCAGCACTAGCCCGATAGTCAAAGAAACTCAGCTCCCATTTAGGCACAAAGAGAATAGGAGCTGCTTCTGAATGCTTGTCTTTAACTCATGTGAGTGAAGTTACCACTTGACTGTTTGCAAGTTTGGGGCCTGAGATAGTGTGATGGTCTTTCAGCTCAAGAGATCCTTTTATGGAAACAGAAAATAGTTTGGGATTTTTTTTCCCCAAACATAGCCAGTTTCAAAGAGGACACTAGGATTCTTCACACTCTTCTGGGTAGAGCTACAGTAGAACTTAATCACCCATGTATATCCATTTCCTAGAAATTCTAACAATTTTTGAGGTGCCTATAACACCAGAATTTTGAAAGGCAGAAAATGGAAAATTTACACAGGACTAGAGCCTACAGGAAAGCCCCATCAGAAACATGTTTGTGGAAAGAAATCAAACTACAAATAGTTATTTGGTTTCTTCACTGTAACCAGTCTCATGATTCTGTGGCCATGGAAAACCAGTGTGGAATTCAGTTTGCCACAACACTGTGGTATGGGATCTCAACGTGCCTTTTTAGAACTTTGTTTCTTCACTTCTTGATTATGAAGCAAACTATGCAAAAACCAGACCTTCCTCAGAGTGCGATTCCATTAAATGCTGCATCTGTTCAGTGGAAAGCAGTATTCAGGAGGAGTGAGCTAAACCTACTGCTGCTTGAGATTCCTGTTTTCTTTTAAACTAACACTCACCAATTTAACATAGAACAAAAATGACTGAGTGACGACTTACACACATTCAAGTCTTGGCCAGGGTGTGTGTCATTGTGGATGTGGGTGGGTGGGTGG